GGTGGGAACATAGGCAGGAAAGCTGAGAGGGGAAAACTGCTTGTTTAGGGGCCCACAGAGAAGAGGGCATTGATGGAAGGGTGGGTGAGGGAGGAGGCATCCATGACGGAGGGACACCAGCAAAGGACAGGTCACGGGGCCTGGCACGGAGACAGAAAGTGGGCGTGGCATATGAGGGGATTTGGATCCCGGCTGTCTCTTCCCTCCTGAGACGCTGCCAACCTGTGCTCTCTCCCCAACATGAAAGCTCCGTTCTCTGCTTGTCCTTCCAGGGGGAGGCTTGAGGCCTGGCATCTCAGAGGCTGACTCCCCTGGCTGTCTTTGCTGCTGGCCTCTGCCTGGCTCTAGATGCCTGGTCCTTCGAACTCTTGGAGCTTCAGTGGTAGAAGCCTGGAGGTCAAGGAAAGAGAAATAACAGAACCCTAAAGGCGGTGAGTCAGGACCCCCAGGCAATGCCACTGGCCAGCTGCTATGTAAGCCACATGTGTTATCTTCCCCTCTGACATCTGGAGAATGGAGGCTTCTACCCACAGAACAAGGACAAAAGCTTCCAGCAAAGCTGGGAGTTAGGGGAGGGCAGAGGTAATGAGTGGAGAAATGGGAGAGAGGTCCACCAGGCCACCTGGGAGGAAAAGCTCGTTCCCCGGAGCTGCTGGAGTTGAGGATTAAAAGAGGGTTATGTGACCAGGCAGCATCTTTGGAACAAAAGAGGCAGGAAGTGTGAGGGAACCATGGCATTGGGGTAGAAGGCTGTGTCTTGTGTTATGAGGAGGTCTCATGTCAGGAGGGCATGCAGACCGGCTTGGGTGGCCTCTTACACAGAACCTGGGGGACAGAGGGACAGGCTAAGTGGGGGTTATTAGGGCAAGTGTATGAAGCTGGTTGTAAGAGCTTTGAGGGCTGTTCGCTCACAGCTTACCTTATGCCTGGGCTGGCTCTGCACGTGGCTATGTAGTAAAACCTTCCAGGAGCCCTCTCAGGCAGAAACTAGCATCATTTCTTTTCTTTTTCTTTTTTAACAGAAAAGGAAACTGAGGCACAGAAAGATTCGGCCCAGGCCCAGTGACATCAGCTAGCAAATGATGGACCACGAAAAGTTGGTGCTGAAGTTTCTCTAACTCTTAGGTTCTAAAATCCCAGGGTCCTGAGTTGTCTGAGAACTTGATGTTTTAATTCTGAATCCATAATTTAATGATGCCATAAATATGAGGTCCTGCATTCCTAACGTACCGTGATACTGGGAGCCTTCGAGCCTATAATCTGGTGCTAAGTCTCAGGATCTAAGACGGTTGCTTTAAGATTCCCTGTGTCTAATATTTTATGGGAAACACAGGGAGTTATTTAAAGCCAAGCAGCGGGCGGTAGAACACTTCCTCCTTTCCCTAGAGCGAGCCAGCAGGTCAAGGCTATATTTCCGAGAGTCTGAGCTGTCTGTCTCCACCCCCTGGCCCTGGAGGCAGGCTGGGGAAGCCAAAACTCTTGCTATTCTGGGCCCATTAATTTGAGATGTCCTCCAGAAAGGTGTTAGAGACTGGTGTTTGGAGCAGCAGGCTGCTAACCCAGAGGGAAAAGGTCTGTAGGGGGAGGTGGGCTCTCGGGAAGCCCCTACTGCAGGCCAGCGGTGTGCAGGAGGATGTTAGGGGCACTGCTGGGGTTGTGGGAGGTGGTCCTGCTGCACAAGGGACTCGGACATCCCTTCCCACTGCCCCAGTCCAGTCCCAGAGCTCTCTTCTGTTTCCTTCATGGTACTGAATGTCCAAAGCGGTCTTTCCCATCTCCTCTTTTCCTAGCTTTCTGCGGCTCATCAGCCACCATGGAAATGCCAGCTTCTTGAGGGCCAAGAACAAGTCTGGACCCACAGCAGTAGACATTTGTTCTGGGAATGAGGACACTCTAAATGACATCTCAGCCCAGGACCAAGATGTCCCCCACCTGGCCTCCTCTCCTCACAGTGACCCAGGGCAAGGGGCGGCTTCTTTGTCCTTGTGTCTGTAAGGCAGAGATAGCTATAACCCTGTTCATCTCATCTCTTCAAATCAGCAAAAAGGGGTCTCAGTTATTCCCCAAACTGTCCTATAACAGCTGCTACTGTGACATCAATGCCACTGTTACATCTCCCTAAGCCTTCCAGGGTGGCATCAAAGCCCCTCTAGACTGACCTTTGAACTCCCCAACCTAAGCCCCTCATCCCTCACGACCATTGACAGCCCCAGCCTCCCTCTCAAGAATGCCCTGCTCTGTCTCCCTGCCCAGATGCCTTTCCCATCATCCTCTGTGCAACTCCTGCCCCCTGGAGAGGAAGTACATTTTCTCCTCCTCCTTAGGTCCCTACAGTGCCCCTCCCCTGTCCTCCAGGGCCTTTTCTAGGTTCCTGAGATCTGGCACCCCATGGGTCTTTCTATCTGAGTTCTTTGCTCCGGAGCCAGGCTGTGCAGGGTGGGTTTCTGGAAGCTGAGCAGACAGCCCCTCACTCCTTCCTATCTGCAGGATGGAGCCAAGGTTCCTGGGGGTGCCCTCCTAGGCCTGGCATTCTTGGGCAGCCTGGGAGCTTGGTTGAAAAGGGAAAGCAGTATATTAAATTCTCCGATTCCTGGTCCTGAGGGGAGCAGGTGCAGCAGGTAATGAGGTTGTCAGAGGAACAGAGGCAGCTGGTATTGATGCTGCTCAGGCAGGAAGTGTGGCATGGCCTCAAGCTGTAGCCAATGAGGTGGAGCCTGGGATGTTCCAGGACTAACGCCCACCCGCCACCCCCAACCCTGTCTGAGAGGCCGAAAGAAAACTGGGATTAAGCCCTGGCGGTACCAGCTCCAGCCTGTAGGTGGCGCTGCAGGCTCTCGCAAGTGCCGCTGGGCCTGGAGGCCGGGCATGGAGCTGGGAGGTGGAGGGGAGTTATACTTAGGACAGGGTGGAGGAAGCACCAGTTCCTGGGCACAGGGGCCCTGGGCTTCCACTGGGCCAGGCTCTTTCTGCACCGCTGCAAGGGCGTGGTCTCTCTGAGGCCTGCTGACCCTTCTCAACTGCGCCGAAGCTCCTGCTTGTTAGCAGATCAGGGCTTCCTGCGCCTCAGTTATCACAGCTGCACAGCTCCAGAGGACATGGGGTTGGTACAAGGACTGGTCTCCAGGGTGGGGTTGGAGGGAGCACGGGGCTGGAGGGGGGTTTGAAGAGAGACTGAAGAACCTGGGCTTTGCTCTTGCCCTTTATTTCTCTCTCTGCAGGTGTGATGTCTTTACTCCCCTCAGCCTCACACAGGGCTAGAAACCTTTTACCACCTTGGTTAAGCTGTCTACAGTCACCTTTCAGTCCCTAAAGCAGAAGATGTACACACAGAGACACAGACACGTGTACACACACACACACACACACACACACACACACACACACACACACACACACCAGACAGACAGACACACACACCAGACAGACAGACAGACAGACAGACACACACATCAGACAGACAGACAGACACACACACCAGACAGACAGACAGACACACACACATACACCAGACAGACAGACAGACAGACAGACAGACAGACACACACACACACACACACACACACACACACACACACACACACACAAAGTTGCCTGGCTCGTCTGACTTGAGTATGGCATCAGTACCAGCCACATCTTCGCCTCCCATATCAACTGTTCCTCCCAGAGGCAAAGTGCCAGGACCACAGCCTTCTCAGATCACATGCACACCTCCTCCTCCAGGAAGCCTTCCTGATTGCCGCTCCCAGGTTCTGAATCCCTTGAATGAGCCTGAGAAATTTCTGCTGCCTTGCCTGTCCTCGAGCACAACTGGAGTCTGCTTGTCCGTTTGTCCCTCCTACTCGCCCTGGACTTCCATCTCCTACGGGTGCTGTGGAGTGGCCACGCTGTCCTCACCCGTCTCTGAAACTCTCCGCAGCGCTTGCACCAGCCAGGCTGCATCCCTGTTCTAACCTGCAGGCCGCAGCCCTCCATTCCAGTGCCCTCTTCCCTCCTCTCCCGTAGAGTCCACAGAAGGGACAGGAACCACTCGAGTCACCACAAGGACCGTGTCCATCGTTTGTGAGCTGTGTGGCATGCAGGATTTTCCTCGGCTTTTGGGGGTCTTGGTATTGTTTTTTTCATCACTGAGAGAGACAGTTTGGAGGCCAGGGCAGAACAATTTAATAAAGTCTTTAATAAACTCCCTGGCAGATCACTAAGGGCAGGGCATAAAGGGGAGCCAGGGATCTGCAGTGAGTGCTCGGAGCAGCAGCAGCCAGTGCGGGTCCACCAGGTAGGAAAGGCCATCTGGACTTCATCGCTCCCAGCAGCCACATGCAGAGGGCTGCAGATGGGGTAGGAGGTTGCTGAGCCTAGGAGGGGAATCTGGGGTTGGGGGCTTCTGAGGGAAAGCAGGCCGGGGTAAGTGATGCCTGGCCCCACTAAGCCAATTGACAAAGGGATGGAAAAAAAAATTCTCTTTTCCTGTGCCAAAGTAACCGATCCCTTCCAGGCCTGGCTTTCATTAACTTAGGCTTCCTGCTTCTCACAGTAAGGGGCCCTGGAACCATCACAAAGCACACTGAGAAATGGGGCAGGGCAGGGTACAGAGGCCTCCCTGTACTCCCAGGGCCTGTTGATGTTATCTATGGGGTCTGCTCCCAGCCAGATGCTGGGGCAGGCCTGTTGGACCTTCTGCATACTGGCCTGGGCTAGCATTCTTTCCTCATTTGCAGAGAAAGGTCCCAAGGCTCCGCCCTGGTCTCCTGTCCAGATTCCACTCTCTTCTGCCATGACCTTGCTGGGGCACAGCAGGAGAATCTTGTTTGCTCTGGGGCTGGGCCAGGCGGAATGCTCTCAGGTCCCTGTGTCCCAGGTACAGGCAGGTGGCAGAGCTAATGGATGCACTTCCCTTCCTTCCCCATCCACGCTTTGTGCTTGTGGTCCTTGGAGAAGCCTCTGAGTAAATATTAATAATGTGCCTTTGTGTACATTGGCTAGGAAAGAGAATGAATCACTTCCCGCTCTACTCCTGGACTCAGACGGAATTGTAACCACGGAAAAACGATGGGTCGCCTGGGCAGTGGTGAAGGGCCGGGCAGAAGGAGCCAAGGAAGCACCAGTGGCCTCTGTCCCAGGCTGCTAAATGTTGACACCCAAGTCCTATTTCACATCAGCACAGAGAGAGGTGAGTGCATGTGTGTGAGTGTGGGGATGAGGGATGGGCAGGTTCAAGCCCTCCCTCTGCAGGGCCCCACTGTGTGGCTACAGCCATGGTTTCCTCTCCTGTCTGTATGCCAGGTTCTGAGTTAGATGCCTCACCCAGCAGGCAGGCGGGGCGCTTCCACCGGCTGCTTACCTCCCCACCTCTTCCTGATGGAGGGATGTTATTGTTTGAGGCAGGATTTTACTATGCGGTTCAGGTTAGCCTCCAACTCGGGATCCGTCTGCCTTGGCCTCCTAAGTGCTGGGTTACAGGTGTGTGCCACCACGCCCACCCTGAACAGCTTGTACGTGCAGAAACATTGGGAGGAACACAAGTGTTCCTCCAAGGTGCTGGGACCAAGAAGCAAAAACAGGCTGGCTGGAACAGAGCCCATGTAGGGTGGCCCGGGGTGCCTTGGCAAAGCTCTGGCACCCTGCTGGTTCACAGGAACATAACTGGCGCATGGGCTGATGAGCACCACCCCATCCTGTGGATGTGGAAGCTGAGACCTGCTGAGAGGATCTACCAAGAACACCATCACAAGGGAAGGGAGAGGATCTGAGCCCGGAGTGAACGCCAGCATCTCGCCGCCTACTCTCCGCCGGCTGCCAGAGGATCAAAGTGAACGGGAGCAAGGAGAGAAGAACAGGGTGCTTGAAGAGGACTTTGGGGCTGGGATAGAGAGGGAGAGAGAGAGAGAAGAGGAGGTGGGAGGGGGAAACCATTGGGCATGGCCCAGCAAGGGCCTGCGTGTGTGGACAGCACGTAGGTAAGGTGGGCGCTTTCTGTGTGCCCAGACCTTGCTACAGCCTGAAGCATGTCGTCACATTTACTCATCAGATGACCTATGACCTAGTGCTGTCACAGCTGGTCAAGGGAACCAGGATCAAACTAGGACCAGACCCCAAAGCACCCCCTGTTTGCTGAGCACAACAGCTCAACCCCCAGACCCTGATGGAGCTTCTGCTTGAGGAAACATCCCCACCCCACCCCCAACCCCCACTCTGCTGTGCGGCCTATAGCCAAATCACTTAACGTCTCTGAGCCACCTTTCCTTCATTTATAAAACAGCGATGTAATACTCATAGAATCAGAGAAAGGGGAAGATATTTTCAGACATAAGAATTCTTTAGGGGAGAGCAAGGTTTGCCAGGTAGAAGTCCAGGTGGGCAGGAAGCAGATAGGATACACGGGAACCCGCTGGTCAGGGGCTCTTCAGAATCAAGGCTCACTTTCTTGGAGACGTGGGGGAGCAGAATTGGGGTGGGGCAGAGCTGGCACCCTTCCCTCTAATCTCGCAGACCTCCTTTAATGGGCGAATTCAAGATGCCTGGTGTGTGTGTCGGGGGGTGGGGGGGGCGTGTGCCTGGAAGAGAGACAGCTGAACCTTGACCTTGATATGACCTAGGAGACATGGCCAACATCACAGAGGGTCTGTGCTTCAGAGCAGGAGCCCCAGGAGCTGGCAGTGCATTCAGTGTGTACCAGCAGGGCTGGAACCCATCCTGGCTGTCAGGTGCATGAGATGCACCACCTGGCCTCCCATGCCCACCTTGCTGCCCTGATGGCGAAAGCACATCTGTCCTTCAGAGTCCAACCTTGCTGTGTCCAGGACCCTCTGCCCTGCACACTTCATCCCTTTCAGCATACTGTCACCCCCACGATGGAAAGGTTCCAACATTTAGTGCAAAAAAGAAAAAAAAATCAAGGCCACGACCTCCTGAATTCTGGGGTTCTTCCCAGCTAACCCCTGGCTCCTACATCTCTTCTTGTTATAACATTGTGACAAGGTTACAAAGAACCTTGTATCCTGTGGATGTGTCTCTGTCCTTGTGGCCCATGACTTCTTTGGTACATCTGACTCTTGAGATCACACCCTCCTTCTGGAAGCTCCCTCGCCTAGGTTTCTGTGACTTGGTTTCTTTCCTATGTTACAAGAGAGGGAGGGGAAATTCTAGAACTTTCTACAAGTCAAAAGTGTTCAGGGGAATGATCAACGGCCGTGGGAGGGAGGAGGAAGAGGGACTGTGTCTAGCATGCATGCTGTCTTAGTTACATTCCTGCAACTGTTATAAAATACCCTGACAAAAGCAACTTCAGGGAGCCAGGGTTCACTTGGCTCTCAGTTCCAGGATACAACAGTCCATGGTCAGCAAAGCCACACTGACAGGGACTTGAAGCACATGGTCACAGTGCACACACAGTTGAGAGCAGAGAAGTGACTGATGCCCGCAAGCTGGTGCTCAGCCCACTTTGTCTACTCTTGTGCAATTTAGAGTCCCCCACTTAGGGAATGATGCCACCCAGAGTGGGCTGAGTCTTCCCATCTGAATTAATGCAATCAAGACAGTCCTCCATAAACTCATCCACAAACCCATCTGATCTAGACAATCCGTCTTGAAGACTCTCTTCCAAGGTGATTCTCTGCTGTGTCAAGTTGACAAAGCATCATCACAGGAGGGACACAGGGTATTAAGGATAATCCCAGTTATCAGCACCCATAAGGCAGGCCCTGGGAGTGCTCAAGGCATCTGATTCTCACCACACCTGGGAGGGGGTTATGGTTGGTCTTTCTAGTTTCTATTGAAAAGAGGAGGACAAGATATGTACCAGGAAAGGAAAAGAGTTTGTCCAAGGGCTCCCAGGATGCTGGAAAACAGACTGTTTTGTTTCCTCTCGAAATGTGTTTCTGGAAGACTTTTCCCTTTTGCAACATCTGGAATCTTTGTTGTTGTTGTTGTTACATTATAACGGATCGTTACCTGTTATGAAAATTAACCCACATCAGACATAACTTGAGACTATCTCCCCCATTCCCTGCACTTCTTTCCCACTCTGTTGATCCTGTCCTTGTGGTGCATAGATATTTTTAAATTTTGATTTATGTCACTATGTTTTGAGGCCACTCTGAAGAGCAAATTGGCAATGATAAGCCCTAGTTCATTTTACCCCAAACTGAAGCCCACACCCACTTTCCATCAGGGCTTCATTAATAACATCTTTGCAGAGGAGGGGGCAGGTGGTACCCTGTGGGAAAGCCCAGTTTTTCCCCATCACATGGCCCCAGTGCTTTAGAGACCCACCGCACAGGGGCTTCATGCAGACCTGGATCTGATAGGCTCTGTCCCACTTCTATATCCAACTTCCCCTGGGGATGAGCAGAGGCCTCTCTTCGTGTGGAAGCTCAGATCCTGGCCCCCAAGTGTCCCGCACTGTGCACTACTGGCTTCTCCATGGGGTGCTTCTCCACAGCAGGCAGGCGCTGCCCCTGAGATCAGTGCCGACTTCAGACTGAGGTTTCATCTCCATGGTCACTGCCATTGTTGGCCTGGATCAGTTCACACTTCCAGAGCGCCCAAAGATGCCTCCTTTCTGGGCCAGGAGACTGACATTTCTTTCTCCCTAATCTCCCATCAGCTCCAACTCTTTTTGATCACAAAATGTTGGCGTCCTGGATGTGAAGATGGTGATTGTAGTTCTGTAGCCAACCCCTCCAAAGGCAGCGTGTTCAGTACAGGGCCTACCAGCATCACCTGGGGCCTGACCTCCAGTGCCCTCCTTGTCCCCTAGACCATCATCCTTTGTGACCATTGCCAAGATCCCCTCCCTCTCTTCTTTTTCCTCACCTCAGACCTGACCCAGCATGTCCCCTCAGGAGGCTGGTCACCCTAGAGGACACTTCCTATTCTTGCTCCAGATCCAAGATCCTCACCAAACATCGTGCAAAGGTCCAGCTCACTGCTGGTCCCTTCTATGGGAGCAGATGTGGGCCCCACTCCTTGGGCTTCCTTAGCTCAGCAGTGATAGAGTGATGGGTGGGTGCTGGTCCCCATTAGTATGGGTACCCGTCTGTAGTCACAGAATACTCCATTCTGCCTTTCCCATTGAGTGGCTTCCACTAAGCTAAACAGATAAACATGGAGATACCCAAGGGAGGCTGGAGGAAAATCAATAAGTAATAAAAGTTAACACAGGAGCAAATGAATTAGCAGAGGGAGCCAAGAGAGTGTCTGCCGTGTGAGGCACACTGAACTCTGTGGGGTCGGGAGCCTGGTGGAGATTCTGCCCCGAGGAGTGTGGGAGGTTCTGGGAGTTAGACATAGGAACCCCCTGTTGCCCACTGGACTCCTGGGGGCCCCTTGCCAGATGACAGTGTGAGAAAGTGGACTGGACACCTGAGGGCACTTCTGCATTTTAATCACTGGATCCATTCAGAGGCCACAGCCTAGGCATCCGCCTTCCACATGCCAGGCCAGTATCGCAGGGTGAGCTCTGTTACTCTGTGCCTGCTTCACGCTTTGTGTTCGCCACACACTGTGTGTCTCAGGCCACTGACAGAACCTCTCTGGGCCAGGTTCCTTTGGTTTCTTTGTTTTGGTTTTGCTTTTTACCCAGGGTCTCACTACATAGCCTTGGCTCATTATGCACACCAGTCTGGAACTAGTAGAGACCTACCTGCCTCTGCCTCTGCCTCTGCCTCTGCCTCCCAATTGCTGGTAATAAAGGCTTACACTATTGCTCCTGGCTGTACCAGGTTCTTACAAACCTGCAAATCTGCAAAGTGGGGCATGTTAGTATGGATTTTTTTGAGACAGAGTTTCTCTGTGTAGCTTTGGTGCCTGTCGTGGATCTCACTCTGTAGACCAGGCTGATTTCGAACTTGTAGAGATCTGCCTAGATCTGCCTCCCGAGTGCTGGGATTAAAGGCATACAACCACTGTCTGTCTAGTATAGGTTCTTACTGGAGAGTAGAAGAACCAAGAACCACAGTTAACACCAAGGGCTTGTGTCAGGTTGGCGCAGGCTCAACTCTGGGAAAATACCGGGTAAGTACACTCTCTTCCTGTCCTGGCCCTTGCTTGGACCACAGGCATTTCAGCCTCTCCCTCGGGGACCACAGAGCAGGAAGCCACACTCAGGGAGGTGGGCAGCTTGCACAGGCTTTGCATTTTCTAAGTGGACCCAGGCACCCACCATGTGTCCTTCTGCTGCTCTGCTCTGACCTCCCACAAATATCCTCCATCTTTTCAGCTGGTTGGACCATCAGCTCCACACTGACGGATGAAGAGGTCACAGTATGAGAAGTAGACAGTGTCAGGTCCCAGCCCCCCAAAATGACAATTTGGGCGCAGCTTAGGCTGAACTCTGACCCAGTTAATACTCAGCACTCCTCGGAAACCTTGCAAAGTGGGTTTCTGTTTGCAAGGAAAAGCCATCACTTTTTTTATCCTCTCCTGCAGTTTCCCCAATCTCTGGAGAGGACATCTAGCTCTGTATTAACTCAGACACGTCTCAGAGCCCCATGCTGGTTCCCAGGCTGTTCCAGTAAACATGTCCCCCTCCCTCCGGAGCATAGCCCCTCATTACTGGCAGGACTCTCCCACCAGTTTTCCTATCCTTATTGCTCCTGTGTATCCCTGACAATTGGCAGTCTGCCCTTCTTTTCTCTCTGGTCCTCTCCCTGTCCCCGAGAGGTAGCCACGGCAGACTCCCTCTGATGCCTCTGGCTGTTATCTCTTATTCACAATAAAAAAAACTCCCACTCTAATAATGGAATGGGCACATGGGCAGTTTCTTTACTGGGACGTACCCCCTTGCATACAGAAACCTTGGATAGGCTCGTGCTTAACCCAAAATTACCTAAATAGTCGATGGAGAATTCAGTTCCAACTACAAGAGATGGAGAGTCTAGCAAAGGTTAGCTTGAAAAATGTAGGGGGTTCATGTGTGCACTCATGTGTTGATTTGTTTTGTTTCTCTTGCCTGCAAAGAGATTCAGATATGGTCATTCTTGGCTGTGGGTTAAGGGTTCCTAAACACTGAACAGGATCCAGGTTCATCATGTCCTGACATCTTCAATATGTGTGTCTTCATGCCCTCGGGTTTGAAGCCTCATAGTCATGAAATGGCTGCTACAGCTCCAGGCATCACATCTGGACGGAATTTAGAAGGCAGATGGGCTGTCAGGAACAAAGACCTAGGAGAAACAGAGGAAATAAGACATATCAGCAGGACTGAAAATGTCCCCGTGAACCAGACAGACCCTTGAGGGCATGGAGTGATCAAGGACAGAAAAGACAGAGGGTGAACAGAGGCCTCCAGAGAACCTTGACAGCTGTGTATATGGATTTAACCTTGAACCTGAGCAGTAGGAAGCCATGAGCTCCCTGCTCCAACCCAAACACAGCTCAGAAACGCCCCCTGCTGAAGACAAAAGCTCGGAGCAAGCAGGTTAGTGATGGTCATGGCTGGCACTTTATTAATTAGGCGTCCCGAATACATTAAACCTGGGCATTTAATTTAGATTTACAGGGATAATTTGGATTTATGAGACTAGTTATCATGCATTAAGTACGGAAAATGCCTGTTGGTTTCATAGGCGACATTTACTGAAGCACGTGAAAGAAAACTATGGACCATTTAATTACCTCCTGTTAGCTCAGAGTTGCAGGAAGTCTGGGGGAGGGGCCCACATTCTCCAAGTGTGGGTTCTCCTAGGGGGTGTAATCTCTCCCTCCCCTGGGTGGTGGTTTTGCAGACACTGGGTGATGTCAACCCCTCCAGTGGCTCTGTGGTCTGGGCTCTCTCAGCTGGCAGAGACCTGGCTGGGATGGGAGCCTCCTCAATGGGAGTCTGCAGCCAGGTCCTGCTTAAGCTTTAGCGCTTCTGATATTTGGTGGACACTATCCCTGTTCCCCTTTAATGAAAAGGAAACATGGACTTTGCCAGGTAAATAGCACTCTGGGGGGTCACAGCTATGCACCACAAGGCTGGGACACAGTCATGCTTCTTAGTGCCATGTGTCTGCCTAGCGCTACTTCTCATCTTGTGGGCATGTTGGGTGCAGAGCGCTGGGTGCGCAGATTCATGGCAAGGCCCAAGCCGCACACTGCACAGCCTTGCTCGGCAGATGCAAGGCCAGCAAGCCGGTTACACGTGTTGGAATACTGCTTGATGGTTCTTGTGTAAGGGCACAGATTGTGCTGACGTATCATAGGCTTGAGGGGACGAGGAGAGGGGTGTAGAGCAGGACAGAGAGTGAGAACACACACGGACTTCCATTTAAGGATGAAGCCAGTGTTCAGAACAGCTGCCCCGGGAGACTAACACCTCAAAAGAAAGCTTGAGCACAAGACGTCTCGCTGGCAAAGCCGTGGCACGGGCAGCTAAGGGTTCTTAGGCCGGCTCCTGCAGGGCACGTGGGCAGGAGGCTCTGGAAGACTGCATGAAGCTAGTGCAGTGGTTGCTGGTAAGTGGGGGTCACTGACTCCTGGGGCCCCCTGCCCTCATTCCAGTGCGGGCCCCATCCTGAAGTGGGAGGTGGCCAAGGCTGGCTGGGCTCTCTTCTCCTCCCCAGGAGCCCTTCCTCTTCTTTTCTGACATCCACTATCCTGTCAAAACTGTAAGTATCTCAGTGACATCTTCTCTGATGTCCCCATTTACTTCTGAATCCCCATTGCCAACCTGGTGCCGAGAGAGAGAGAGAGAGAGAGAGAGAGAGAGAGAGAGAGAGAGAGAGAGAGAGAGCGAGCTGCTAAATATTCATTGAGAGAGAAGGGAAAGAGAATGAATATGCGCATGGGAAGTGTTCCCAGTATTCCTCGGCTGTCTGGTCAGACCCTGTGAAGCATGTCGCGCTAAGGAGTCTGTGTGGTCCTCTGAAAGTTGTCCCTGGCCATAGAAGATCACCTCTTACATTCAGGGTATCTCCTGTGTTTAACAGGCCCCATCCTCCACGATGCCATCTCTTCCAATCAGCCCGGG